TCTGTCTGACCTCACCCTCTCTCCCCAGTATCCAGGATCTCTCTCTCTCTCCTTTTTTCTTTTTTATTCTCTATCTCTTATAATCCAGCATTTCAACATAACAAAACATATCTTTCTCTCTTAACTTCTTTATGCTAGCCTGGCACACTGGGTCCTCTGAATTATTTTGCTTCCAACTCAGCCTGGGTTGAACCCTGAAGGAGTCAGCAAGGCTTAGAAAAATTTCTTGGAACCAGAAAGTCATGTGAAAGTCATTTAGTTTAACCCTCCTTTTCTACATGATCAAACTGAAGTTTAAATATGTGCAGTGATTTGCCTGGAGTCCCACAACAGGTAGCTTTAAGACCTGAGTGTTTCCACTATCCTTATACCTAGCTCTCTCTTGCTCAATGAGCCAATAAACCAAGCAACAAACCCTTATTAACATCAAATGTAAGGCCCTTTGTTAGGAATGCCTTACACTTCCTGAATTTAAGTACAATTGGAAAGATAAGATAAGAAATGGCAATAAAACAATTATTCCATTTAACAGAGTGTATGTCTTGTATTCCAGTTTTGCACAAGACTTTGTGCTACATGTTTCAGGAGATACAATGAACGGCAGCAGCTTCAGCCTACTCTTCCTCTAGAGCACATGGTCTGTTAATGAAATAAGACCTTACTATAACACAAGGCAGAACCAAACACAGCTGTCCCTTGAGCAACATGGGTTTGAATTGTGCAGGTTCACTTATACAGAGATTTCTTTCTACCTCTGTCCTGCCCCGAGATGACAAGACCAACCCCTCTGCTTCATCCTCCTCCTCAGCCTACTCAATGTGAAGATTATGAGGATTTTTGGGTATGGTGTGAGATAGGGGTTCGATTTCATTCTTTTGTATATGGGTATCTAGTTTTCTTAACAATATTTGTTGAAGAGACTATCCTTTCCCCATTATGTATTTTTTGGCATCCTTGGATGCATGGGTTTATTTCTGGGTTGTCTATTCTGTTCTAATGGTATATACATCTGTCTTTATGCCAGTACCATACTTTTTATTATGTCTTTGTAATATAATTTGAAGTCAGGAAGTGTGATGCCTTCAGCTTTGTTCTTCTTTTTCAAGATTAGTTATTCAGGGTCCTTTTGGTTCCATAGGAATTTAAGAATATATTTTCTGTTTCTATAAAATGTGCCTTTGGGATTTTGATAGAGATTGTGTTGAATATGTACACCACTTTGGGAGTAGGGACATTTTTACAATATTAATTCCTCCAATCCGGCTACATAGGACTTGTATCTTCCCATTTATTTGTATCTTTTAAAATTTCTTTCATGAATGCTTTGTAAGCTTCAGTGTATAAGACCTTTACTTCTTTGGTTAAGTTAATTTCTAAGTATTTTATTCTTTTTGTTGCTAATGTAAATGGGACTGTTTTCCTGTGGAGAAAAGAGAACCCTTGTACACTACTGATGAGAATGTAAATTAGTAAAACCATTATGGAAAACAATATGGAGGTTCCCCAAAAACTTAAAAATAGAACTAACATGATCCAGCAATCCTACTTCTTGGTATCTAAAGCAAATGAAATCAGGATTGTAAAGAGTTCTCTGCACTACCATCTTCATTACAGGATTATTCACAAAGCTAAGATATGGAAATGACCTAAAGTCTTTCAACAGATGAATGGATGAAGAAAATGTGGTGTGTGTGCGTGTGTGTGTGTATGTGTGTATAACAGAATACTATTAAAGAAGAAGGAAATCCTGCTGTTAGCCACAACATGATGAAGCTGGATGACATTTTGCTAGGTGAAACAAACAAGACACAGAAAGAGAAATCCTGCATGATCTCGTTTATATGTGAAATTGAAAATAGTCAAATTTGTAGAAGCAGATAGTAGAATAGTGGTTTCCAGGGCCTGGTCGAGGAAGAAATAGGGTGATACTGGCCAAAAGATACAAAGATTCAGTTATGAAATACGAGTAATTTCTAGAGACCGAATGTACAGCATGGTGATGTTAATTAACAGAACTGTATTGTATACTAGTAATTTGCTGAGACGACAGATCTTAAATCCTCTCACTACACACACACACACACACAAACAATGGCAACTATGCAGAGGTAATGTATATGTTTAATTAGCTTGATGATTGTGGTGATAATTTAATAATGTATACTAAAACATCAAGTTGCACATCTTAAATATATACATTTTTATGTGTCGATGATGTTTTAATAAAGCTGTTTAAAAATGAGACAGCCAGGTGGACAGCTCCATGGAAGCAAGACAGAACTCCCTGGGGAAGTGAACTCTGCCTGAGTACACAGTTGGGAAGATGATCAATTTTGATGTCGGAGTCGCTCGGATTTTAGTAAGGAAAGGGAAGACTGTGAGCCAGATGCTGGGGTCACTCAGGAAAGCAAGAAAGTGTTAGAAAGTGCTGTATGGAGTCCAACACCAGCAAAGCTCTTGGATAATAATCACAAAACAATGGACCGGAGAAGTACCGGAGAGAAGGGAAAAGCCGATTCCACTTCCGTTCAGTTAGGGGACAGGAATAAGAGAAAGATACTTTGAGAAGATTACGAGAAACGGTGTCTTCAGAGAAAAGGCAACGGTCACCTAATGGTAGAAGCAGGAAGAGGTACAAATAATTTTTTGACAAGATCTGTGCAGGTTTTTAAAATATAGAGTCTCAAGGAATAGGTTGTACAGGTTCAGGTTAGACAAACCTAAGACAAGAGGTTAAGACTCTCTGGATAGGGATGAAAATAAGGACCCAGGTGCGGGGAGAGTGGAATTCGAGATTTAAGACTTTGACTTTAATGACCAGGGCTTGGGAAGAAGAGGATGGAGGAGGCACTTGTGAGCAACTAACAAAAGAGGAATGTAAATTAGGCAGAAATCAATGAATGTAGGAAGTGTTGGGTTTACATGACGACCACTTGGGGGAGCTCCAGCCCATTCCTCCCTTAGGAGCACAGGTTCCGGAGCTCGACAGAGGAGTTCAAATTCTCAATCTCTTCACTAGTTCTGGGACAAACCACTTAATTGTGTTGTAGGATTAGCCACTTCATCTTTCCGTCAAACGGAAGTCATGAAATGGGGATAATTACAGTTTCGAGAATTAAATGAGATACTACATGTCACGTGTTGTTGTGTCATCAGCCCAGAAGTTGTGTAGTTACATCAGGCAACAGTACCAAGACCGTGAGTGCTGCTGAGCAATGGTGCTCAGGGCTTGAGGCTTAGTATGACAAGAGAAACTGTTAGCAGATGTTGACTCTTCCTTAGGACGATGGGGATTGTCTTTTTCTCCAGCACTGCCACTCGACCCATACAGTAAAAACAAGGTGAAGGTGTCTCCAATTGTCTTTTCCAGGAAGAACCAATTGACGCGGAGTCCGGGACCAGGACCCCTGGCCTCCCTCGGGCTTTGAATGAAATCTGCTCCTTCGTTGAGGTATGCATCTCCTCCCTTGCCTCTTCTCGTAGTAGAGTGGTGGGATGCTGGGATCGTGGTGAGGGTCTGGGCAACAAAGCCAGGGGTGCACATCAGCCCACTTCGGACCCGGCCTTGGGGCTTGGGACTCATGGCTCTCTCGTGGTCTAAGACCGCCATGGGCACACAGGCCTGGAGCGCAGTGGGCTGTGTAGACAGCACGATGACACCAAAGGGACCGCCCACTCTAGCAGGAGACGGGAGGAGAGAAGGAAACCCACCTCCGCCCACTGTTTCCATTCCTGGAACATCTCTCCGGGCACACAATCTCTCAGATTTTGCAGGGCTGTCTCCGCATACATTGATTTGGGATAAGAATACGGGCTGCTGGGCACCGCCACCAAGGGCTGGACAAGCAGCAGGAAGTTTCCTTGAAGTAACTACTTGCAGCAGTACCCTTGTGCGGGTCCTGGGTCTCCTCATTATCATTTTATTGCATTTCTCTTCTTTGCACCCTGGGGACGTTTTTTGGAATAAACATAAAACCAGTTACTTTAGAAATAAAATGTGTTTTTCATTAAAACCCCATTCTGGCTCCTCCAGTCCCAACAAAGCGTTTCCTGTTTGAACTAATTGGCTTTCAAGTTATCGATGATGCTGTTTCTCTACAAGGAGGTAAAAGTATAGGACATCCTGGTGTCCAACTAAAAGCCCTCCTACTACCTATATGAAATGAAACTTTCCTTTGTGAAGCTTTAAGGAAAATGCACGTGTAAGAGGAAAAGTTGTTCAGAACTTGAAAAGAAAGCCTCTCATCCTCCTTGTGGACCATGGGTCCACATTCCTTCCACTTACCCTCATCCAAACTGTCACCTTCCCCACTAAGGTGTCCTCCCTCATCCTACCAGCCAAGGGAAGTACACATCCAAGACTAAGAAAAGCATGGTCTCTTAGCCTGCCCAAGTTGGAGGCACCCAGAATTTGTCCCAAGAGCAAACTTTCTAGAATTCTCAACAGAGAAAACCCAAGCAGAGATCTTCCAGAGCAAGTCATTCTCCATCACACCCCTGTCCAACAAGAAAACAGCCATGGTTAACACAGGCACCTACTGCGTGGCGCCCCTGACTGTCCCTGAGCCACGGTTCTCAATTCTGGCTGAACATTACACTCACATACGAGGAACTCTGACAACTTCTGATGCAAGGATCCCACAACAGAGACTCAGATTTAAGTGGTGTGGTGTGGAACCAAGTCACCAGTACTTTTGAAATATCTTCAGAAGCTCTGGGTGCAGTGGCTCACACCTGTAATCCCAACACTTTGGGCGGTAGAGGCATAAGGATTGCTTGAACCCAAAGTTCGAGACCAGCTTGGGCAACAATAGTGAGACCATGTTTCTATGATTTTTTAAATTAGTTGGGCATGGTAGCATGTGCCTATAGTCCCAGCTACTCCAGATGCTGAAGTGGGAGACTCACTTGAGCCAGAAAGGTCGAAGTTGCAGTGAGCCATAATTATACCACTACACTCCAGCCTGGGCAACAGAGTGGTGAAACTCTGTCTCAAAAAAAAAAAAAAAAAAAAAAAAATCAGATGTGCAGCCTGATTTGAGAACCACTATGGTAGCACGGTGCTATCCAATACAGCAGCTACCAGCCATACAGCCATTCATGGCTTCTTAAAGTTAAATCAGCTAATATGAAATAAAGTTAAAAATTTAGTTCCCAAATTGTACTGGCCACATTCAAGGGCTCAATAACTACAGGTGACCAGTGACCAGTGACTACTATGTTGAGGAATGGCGAATATAGAACATTTCCATCATCACAGAAAGTTCTACTGGATGGAGATGTTCTAGAACATCAAAATGTCAAAGAGTCAAAATTCAGCTTTTCTACTAACCCCTGAAGATTGTTCTTTCCAAGTCCACCTGTCTCATCTTCTCCCTGAGCTGTAGACCTCACAGCAGAATTCAGTCGTCTAGTACTCCTTGGCTCCCAAGAGCAACGCCAATATTAAACTACATGATGACAGGGGCTTTCATTCATCACTGCAACAGGAAAGATGATATTCAGTGATTCCCTGATTTGCCCTAAATCTCACAGCAAGGAACAGAGTCATGACTTTAAACCAGGCTTGTTTCTATCAAAACACAAGCTCATTTGTTCAGCCCAACCACTCCTCCACTGGGACTCCTGGCCACATCAGAGCTTTCTCCTCCAAGAGGAAAGGCCCTGAGATGTGATCTGCTGACCACAGGGTTTCCATGTCAGCCACTCCTCTTACCTACCGCATTCTGACCCCTTAACTGCTACCATCTACAAGGTCAGCTACTGCAAAAAAAACTACATGGATGCATTTCAGTAAGCTTGCCTAGTGGTGGCCAAGGAACGAAGGGAAGTACCATCCTCTGCCTGGCTGGTAAGACTTGCTGACAGGGGCACTTCCGATCAAAACATTGCCTGGACCTTAGGAGCTAGGTGCCTTACAGGAATGCAAAGAAAGGAACCAGCTCATGCAGTGGACAGGAGCTCAGGCAACTTCTAAGACAGGAGTTTCCAAGGGAAATGCCACAGGTTTGGGGCTCCCATGGTGTCCTGTTGCCTGAAGCAAATTCGCTTATTTTGTATCATTTTAGTACCTGAGAGAAAATACCTGGCCTCCATTTGACTGCCATTGGCTTGATTTAAACTTAAAATTGTGTGCAAGTATGATCAAGTTTCTCTCTCCTACTGTGTGTGTGTGTGTGTGTGTGCGTGCGCTTGCGTGTGCTAGCCGGAGGGAAAGGATTGAGGAAGGAGGAAATGGGAGCTAAGAATATTCCTAAACACAATGAATGTTTACATTTTAATTATTTTCAATTATGTTTTCACAAGCCATCAAAAATGGTACAAGAAGATGTTAAAAGGGGTAAATTTTCAGTACATTCATCCCAGTCTAGAACATAAATAACTCACATCATGATGGATTCGGGCCACTGACTATCAGGTGTAGACTTTCCCCAATATCTTCCATATTGTCTTATGTACCTTCTTTTTAAAAATTTATTTTTCATACAGATGGGGTATTGCTAAGTAGTCCAGGTCTGTCTTGAATTCCTAGCCTCAAGCAACCCTCCCTCTTGGACCTCCCAAAGCACTTGGATTATAGATCTAAGCCACCATGACTGGCCTTATTTACCTTCTTAAATGTATTCATAGTCACCCAGAGTTACTGCTTTCTTTTTATTTTGTCAGCCTTTCCTGTCTGGTGAGTTGCTGCAACTGTGAATCCCAGGCCAGTGGCCTGAAGACAAAGCAAATGGTTTTCAGCCTTTGAATCCTGGACAGGCCAGGGCTTCCTCTATTAAACACACAGAAATCTAACTGCACCCGAGTACATCATCTCACAAACAATACAGAATGGTTTTCTGTTTTAATGTCAAAGTTATAATTCATATTACTACCTTATAATTTGGGACTTTTTCTCCTAATAATGCTATTATCCAGTCCATGTTTTGGTGGTGGCAATTTTATTCTCATGGACTAATATGGCAACAACCATGATATAAATAGATAAAAGCACTTGGTTAATTTCCTCAATTCTACAAAAATCCAGGACACCAGCAAGAACAATTTTTTGATGGAGAAACACTGACTGTATCCACTTAGGCCACAAGCCAGGGTCTTTTAAAAACTATGAATCAGAACCTAAAGCCCAAGTTGGAGACTCATTTTGCTAATGGTGTGATCACTTGGCTCCTCTTGGTCATGAGCCCTTTGATCATGACTGTCAGCCAATAAGGAAGCTAGATGCAGACTTTCTTTGGACTGAGGCCCTGGAGAAGCCAGGAAGTAGTGATGAGGCCCACTCTGCATGGGGTGTCTGCTTGCAAATCCAGCTCCCCATTTCAGGGGTGAAATAAGAAGCAACTGCTCACTCCTTTCCACTCCCTAATGGCTTTATACCTGCTTTGTTTTGATTGCTGCTGCCTCAGACTGCTCCTTAATCCTGTAAAACAAAAGACTCTGCTACCTGTTGAAAGGCACGAACATGCCCAGAGTCCACTGCCATTTCCAACCCAATGGGGTGCATGGGATGGCATTCAGATTGTGCATGCAACTGGTCAAACATGGAGATGTTTCTTGTCCCTTACCTATAGAGACGGGGCTAGCTCAGGCCAGAACTACATGAAGCATTTGGCTGAGTTTATTTGGGCTTGATTTCTGATTACCATGCCAGTTGCCCAGGGGACAGGCAAATCACGCACAGATGATCTGATCTGATTTTTAAGAAGTAGTCTGATTAGTTCACTTGTTTTAACAACCCAATCAGATCGACTAGGTGGCAATGCATTGATTTTATGGCCCTGCCTGAATCAATCTGAATAAAACCATTTAGTGGCACTTATAAACACAGCTGAATGTAGACAAGTAGGATGAAATCTTTCCTTTAAGCTCTTGAGGAATAGAAAATAAAACTACTTAGATAGTGTCTCTACCGAGGAGATTATGTATATAAGGCTAACGCGACCCTGGTTTCCTTGGTTTCTATTCTATCCTAACTTCCTAAACAGAATTCAACTTCTTTTCCGAGTTTCATTCCACAGACGTCCCTTCTTTGCATACATTAAGCTCCCAAATTTGTAATTGTGATAGATAAGGACAGAGGACAAAAGGCACATGTGTAAACTGTCAAATAGTTTATTTCCCCAGGGATTATGAAACCCCTGGCCTCTGACCCAGGGCCCAAAGACAGATTGATTATTTTCTGAAATAAAATTGATCCAACGGAATATATGCAAAACAGGGATTCCAAAAGATTCTTGGTCAACACCATTTGACTAACAACTTACTCCCTCTCCTTATTAACAGTCACACTCCTTTCTAGTTGGACAAAAGAGTGATGTTTCAGGGCTTTTCTTTTGACTGTCCCCTGTGGAATGGCCAGGTGTCTGCTTCATGACTCCTCATGCTCCTTAGACATCACTCAAATCAAAAGGCCAGTTGATTACAGTTGTCCTGGAATTAGAGTGCAGTGCATATTCCTAACGACTCTTCTTTCTTGTTGGCTGTGCCCTCCCTACGTCTCAGTTTTCTCATCTGTAAAATAAGATGGTTGACGTGAGTCATCTCTGAGATCCCTTCCAGCACTTGTATTGTATGATTTGATTTGATTTGATTGATTTGATTTGATTTATTTATTTATTTGAGATGGAGTCTCACTCTGTTGCCCAGACCGGAGTGCAGTGGGGCCATCTCGGCTCACTGCAGCCTCCACCTCCTGGGTTCAGGTGATTCTTCTGCCTCAGCCTCCCAAGTAGCTGGGACCACAGGCGTGTGCCACCACGCCCGGCTACTTTTTGTAGTTTTGGTAGAGATGGGTTTTACCACATTGGCCAGGTTGGCCTCAAACTGCTGACCGCAAGTAATCCGCCCAGCTTGCCCTCCCAAACTGCTGGGATTACAGGCGTGAGCCAGCAAGCCCGGCCCCATTGTGTGATTTTAATAATACATTCTGCTGGTATTTGCATAGACATTTCTATCCTGTACAGCAATTTTGTATCTATAATCTGCAATGCTCCTATTCCGTTGCTCCAGGAAAACAGACCCTTCAATTTCTTCAGAAATATTGGCCTGTCAGATCAGATCAAATCCCCAAGGGCCCATCAGACTTAATACGGTAATATGCTAAGTTCCTAGGGCTGCCATCATGCTGACCATTGGGTTTGCAGCTGATTCTAGATTCCTTAGGCATGATAATGCCTGGTTTGTTTGAGAGTTAATGCCACCCGCAAGTGTTTGATGTGGCAAGGACTGTGGCATGAGGCAATGAGCTCTAACCATCTTGTGCTGAAAGACAGAACTTTTCTTTCTTATAACTCAGCTTTTATCAAGACTTTAAAATGCAGCCAAGGCATTAAAGAGAGAGGGGGGGGGGAAAAAAAAAAAAAAAAAAAAAAACTTTGGAAGGTTTTTATACTTTTTGTAAAAGAAAAAAAAAAAAAACTTTCATTTTTTTTAACCACTACCAAAATCTCCTCCAAACACACAGACCCTACAGTATCCCTATTAAATTATATAGAGCGAGTCCAGCCCTTGACTGTCAGTAGGGCCCATCAGTCCTAATTTATCGCCCCAGGAAACACAGTACAATTATGGTAATAAATAATAATAGGATTCAGTACATGACAACATGAATGATGGAGCCTCTCAGAATTCATTTACATTGCTTTGTGTTGCAATCATCATGCCTCTAATGTAATGCCAAGCAAATGAGCCCCTTTGAATATTGTGCAATCTATTGCAAGTCAACTGGCACAAAACTCACTCAATAAATCATGTTCAAACACATGCCTGTAATGACAGGTAAATCAACAATGAAGTAATTGCATTTAATGTATTGAAATACTGGACAAAAAAAAAGTGACCTCAAAGTGACTTTTTGTAAAAGGTATGATACAGTTACAACAGAGAGTGAGATCCTTCCTGAGAGGCACGGCTTGCTTAGATGCACATGCCAGAACTGATGATGATGCTGTTTCCCAAGCAGATCTTGATTTACCTCTTTTCTCTGCAGTAATCACGGGATCGGGATGCCAGAGGCTTCAAGGGTTCACTACCTTGAATGTAATAGTCACAGGTAGAATAGAAATCAGCCTCAAGTACAGCCAGCTCTTTTGTGCCTGAGCCATCACCAAGCTTTAAGTTTTGTAGCCAACTCTAAAGGCAACCTGATGAGGAGGAGAGACAAAGCGTCAGGAGTCAGAAGGGCCGCATCCCTGCCCCAGCTCTGGTATTCACTAAATCACTGCATGACTCTGGCCAAGTCACACTACCTCTCGGTCCTTTGTCTGTGAAATAATGTTGTTGGACTGTCGTAGCCAAAATTCATTGCAATTATAACATTCAACGAAGCTCTGATTCTGATTAGAGGCCTTCACTTTTAAGCAGACAGAAAAGAGTTCCCTGCTCTTCCTAGAGCTATGCTGTTCCTGAGCATTGAAGGCACTGGTTTAAACCAGCATGCATCTCTCCTCATCATTGCCGTTGGCCAGGCCAAGTGTATGTGCTTCTAATTTCTGTGAATCCTGGGCCTGCCCCTTTCTGGGCAAGCAGACAAGTCTGAAAATAGGGCCCCAGGGGCTATGTGGATGAATAACAGACAACATTGAAATGACAACCTTCCCTTCCTTCCCCATCGCATCCACCCCAGCTCCCCTCTTCCCAGGGACAACGTCAAGAAGAGATGAAGCAGAGCCTCTGCAAAGCCAAAGGCCACTTAAGGAACTTTCCTGTTCTTGTGAAAAACTCATTCTTGGCTAAAGGGCTCCCCAGGCCTCCCCACTAACCCGCCTTCCTCTCTCTGCTCAATCATCAGTCCCTTACTGTTATCAAAGTAGCTCTCATGAACCCCATAATCTTGGAGATGTGGAGACTTGGAAAAGTAGGGAAAAAGAGCACTAAATTTAGAGTGAGAAGATCTGGCTTTAAGTACTGGGTCTATAGTTTATCGACATGTGATTTTGTGCAAGTCCCTTAAACTCTCTGTGCTCCTATTGCTTCATCTGTAAAGTGATAATAATACTCACTGTGTCTCCAATGAGGTTGTTGTGAGGACAGGATGATATAGATGAAAAGGTATTGCTAGTTGTAAAGCACGATACAAAAGTCTCATTTTTGTCATAATTTGGGAGTAAAGAACACTCTGTCACAAGTTTACTGTGTTCTGCACTCAAACAGTGCTTCTTATCATAAAAGCAATCATCTTGTTTATTTGTCTGGGTATTTTTATTGTCTGACTCTCCTGAGAGTCAGAAGGAACTTGGAGAGTTTGTTCATATTGTTCATGTGTTACTAGCACCTAGGACAATGTTAATTGGCGTGTATTAAATACATGAATAAATGAATGAATGAATGAATGATAGCTTTTCTTTCCTTTAGGAAATTACAACAAAACACTGAACTTCAAGGTATTTTTCAGAAATGTATTTGATGCAAACCTGCCCCAACCTGTAAACACAACCTCCTGCTCCATTTACTTTTTGTGCTGAAATGGAGCTGTTTAGGGGGAGATGGCTTTGTGAGCAATGACCGCTACTGGAAGGGTAGCAACTGGAAAGTCTTTCAAGCCCACTAAAATGCCTTCTGAGGCCAAAACTGGGCCACAGTTTCCCAGGCAACAACAATCTAGAAAATGACAGCTCACTTCAAAGCAGGAAGGGATCTGGGAAGCTGGAAAAACCCACAAACATTTCCGTATTAGAGAGGTGTAGGAAGTCATGGTTAATGAAAACTGAAAACTGAAAACTGAAAACCGTTGAGTGAGAGCTAACAGGTTTCTATTTTTAGTGTCATACGTCCATAGACCCCATCCACCCTCTTTAGGATGTCATTCTGTCACCGAACCATGAAGGCTTACTCATAGATTACCTGTGTTCCTTCTTGAAGCAGGCCCCACTCTCCTGATAGCTCCCATATGATACACTCTGATTAGCAAGGCAGCATCAGGCAGAACAAAAGCTCCATTAACCAGGGCTGGTGGGCGGGAAGGCAAAGCCAGGGGCCCTGAGAGGGGAGAGAATGAAACAGAAAAAGTCTAATTTTAGAAAATTGTTACCAGTTGCAGGATGATGAGAATGTTCCCTAAAGATGGGAACATCAGGAATGGAGGGACCCGGCTTTTCTACCTGACCTGTTGGCTCTCTGATGGGAAATGTCAGCCATGTAGCTCTTGGGTTTTCTCAGCACTGCTGGATTCAGATTGACCCTGGAAGCAGGTGTTTGGCAGCAAATTGCTACCAAGTAACGAGTTGCTACTTGGTAGTTACAACTCAAAGGCCACACCCTCCACCCTTGGGATTCAAAGGTCCCCTTCAGAAAACAGCCAAGGGCAAGCTGCCTCTAGAGTTAAGGAGGAGGAAGATGGAACCCTATGTCATAAGGTAGCCTCAGGCTGAAGGTACAGGTCTTCTGGTAAGCCCTTTTCAACCGAACACAGTATTGAAGTCAATGGATTGTAGTTTGATCAGTCAGTATGAATGATGAATGTGTACCCCAAAATTCCCACAATTAAAAGGACAGCCGTATTCCCCCAATTCAGCTTCCCCTAAGTCCCTTCTCTTTACTCTCATATCTACCATCAGCTCCCTCCCATCTCCGTCATCTAATTCCTCTCAAGAACTCAGGGACAGGGCATAAGCTCTTGCCTTTCGCCATTTGATTCAGCAGCTCCCGAGAGCTGCAGCCCTGCCTGGGAAATGGTTCTGCGCAGGCAGCTTGATTAATGACTGAGGGTCAGCAGATGTCACCTCTTCCACTGAATCCCCAGGGTGCATGCACAGCTCAGATGGAAACGGGACACCAGAGGACTCTGAGTGAACCCAAGAGTCAAGGGCAAATCCACATGATACCCAACAGGAAGGCCTTCCACTGGTTTTCTCCATCTTCCTTTTAGAGTGGATGCTTGGTACTCATTCTTTAAAAGGACCCCTCTTCTTGGAGAATACCTAAATGAAACATGCAAACTGGTGAGGAGAAATTATGATCTATGATTACCTGGATACCCCAGGACCTCAGGCAGGTACCTGAGGAATCTCAGTACCTGAGAGGAACGCCTATCGGTTTTAATGGGAATTTTCCATAGACAAGCATTCGATTTTGTTGTTGATTTTTTCTATAAATACCCCTTTCAACCCTACTTACAGGAAGCAATCATATATTCTGCTAAAATGGACTGAGATTATACTTTATATTTTTCAGCCACTCTTGAGAATTTCAGGCTGGGCACGGTGGCTCATACCTGTAGCTCCAACACTTTGGGAGGCGAAGGTGGGAGGATCACTTGAGGTCAGGAGTTCGAGACCAGCCTGGCCAACATGATGAAACCCCATCTCTACTAAAATACAAAAATTAGCCAGGCATGGTGGCATGCACCTGTAATTTCAGCTACTTGGGAGGCTGAGGCATGAGAATTTCTTGGACCCAGAAGATGGAGGTTGCAGTGAGCTGAGATCATGCCACTGTACTACAGTCTGGATGAGAGAGCGAGACTCTGTCTCAAAAAAAAAAAAAAAAAGAATTTCAGCCCAGGTACCAAGAGCACACTGCATGTGCACATTAGAACCAGCAATAGAGGGAACTGCAGTGGTGAAGGGAAGCTCCCACGTAGACTTCAGTCCAGAATTCAAAGTGCCTTTGCTGTCTCTGAAATACAAACACTTAGGATATACCTTTTCTTTCTAATTAATGTTTTAGAAATTTTTACCTGAAACTCTGAATTTTAGGATTCCAGGCTATCCATTACGAATTATTCTCATACTTGTATTAGGATACTTTTTCTGGGCTGTTTACTGCTGAGAACAATCTTTCCATACAAAAATCCCTTAGAACCTGAGAGCTTAAGATCAACCTTCTGTGTGGGAGACTGGGCATATCTCCTCTACCTTCATGTTTCCTCCAGACTCAGACAGAAAACAACCGCGTTTCAAACTCAGAAATAGTAAATTAATCAAAGGGACCTTATGGATCATGGAATCCAAATCATCATCTTCCACATGAAACAACTAAGGCCTAGAGAGGTTAATGGTTGATTTGGGGAGGTACGAATAGATGTGCCAGGACTGAGGTTGGAAGCAGGGTTCATGTTCATTCCAAAATAAAACATTTTTCCTGGTAGTTGACAAATGAAAAGTTATAGGCCAAGATGAGTGAAAGCACACAAACTTGCTAACTCAACTAGTCAGAAAAAGGGCTGAACTGAATGCCAGGAAATATTACCCTAAGTGTGTTCTACAGAAGTAGTCATTTTTAAGATGCTGCAACCAAAAAGAGTTATCAAATTATAAGAGAGAAATGTCACTGTAAACAAATGTGTTTAACTTAGCATAATCCAACATTTTCTAAAGTTCTTTCATCAAGATTCTCAAAGATCGCTCTTTCTCTTTCTCTCTCTCTCCTCCCTACCCACAGCTGCTTTGCATAAAATGTATTAACATACTATAGAATTGGCATTCTTCCACAGTGCATACTTCAAGGAATGTTGGTAAAGGGGAAGGAACTCTGCAAGGAATAAAGAGGATTATCCTCTGGTCACGGAATTTAATTATGCTACTAATCACCTGTGAACCTTCAGCCAGTCATGTAATTCCTCTGGGTCTCCGTTTCCTAATCCCTTAAATGGTGGTGGTTAGGAGTGTGATGGTGGACAAGATAAACCCTGCAGTCCTTCCAGTTCAAAATTTCTACGATGACCTGATGTTCAGCCTTCCCAGCAAGACTAGGAGATTGTGCCAATCAGAAAAGCCAGAGGTTTGCCCTATATGGACAGCTTAGGCAAGGCACTTGTGTTTGATATGCTCTTCTGTCCCAGCTTGAGGTAAGGAAAGGAAGAAGACTTTAAAACACAGGATTCTCCAGTGGATAACAGTCAGTTCCTCAGGGGTACTAGTTTGAGCCTGGCTGTTACCAAGGTAAAACCGTTTTCTTGTTAAACTTATTAAGTCTGCTAAGTATTCAAATGAACCTGATTTTTTTTTCATCTTTTTTCTCATGAAGAGGTCAACAAAACATTGAGCCCTTTGATTAAACCTCCTCCCCAACTTCCCAATGCTGAAATAACCCATCCATGCATCGCCCGGGGGAGATGTTGCCTGGCTTCACAGGAAGCTCAGAAATAGCCTATCCTATCAAATCACATAAATCCCTGAAACTTTCCATCTTGTTTTTACTATAATTATTAACTTTCTTTTTTCTTTCCTTTTTCTTTCAGGATCTACTTTGTGCTGCAGGCCAATAGCCCAGCTACGCATCTGGGTCCCCAGCAAGCACTCTGTGCTTTTTTAAAAAACACGCACACATGTTCTGCCTCTTATTTCCTGAGCAGTCCCAACACCTGGAGTGGTCAGAGTCCAAAAAAGTCAGGCCAGGAAATTGAGTTCTTCTTGACTCCTGGCTGGGACATTTAGCCAGGAACATTATGAATGTGTTTTGTAACTAACCCTCTACGAGAGAAGAACAGGCCCCTGCCAAGGAATTCACGAGACCCTGGAGTTCGCAAAGAGGGAAGAGAAGAGAAACCTCACTGATCCATCCGACAAGGAGCTGGACAATTTGTGATTTCATCTCAAATGTTCCCTTATCTCCTACCAAGCAAAAGGAAACTAAATATCACTCTCCCTCCTACATGCACACATACATAAAAGAAGAAATTTTTTAAAAGAGAGAGGAGAAGAAAAAAAACCTGGAAGCATTTTTGAAAGCAAAAGGCTGTTTATTGCTGCCAAAGTGCTGATTTTTTTTTCTGCCTCTGGCAACTGTATGAGAATTGGAGACTTCAGCGGAGAAGAAATCCATTCACTTGTCATCGCATAAAACCTCTGTGTTCCACAGAGGAAATGGCAAAATTTCACCCTTAACTGGATTTGTAAATTCTTACAGGGGGCTGGGAGAGGGGGTGGAGGAGAGGTCAGACTGTCCTACATCCTGGGGCTTTCGGTAACCTCACTCTGCCATGTGAGGGAACGGCTTGTCCATCACAGCAGCCTTACATCAACAGGGGACAAAGGTAGAGGCTGAAGAGTCAGAACGGGGCGGGCACCAGTCCCCAGCCCAGGCCACAGAAGAGCAATTCCAGCCCGCGCCACTGCGAAGGGTTCCATCTAAATGTCTTTTAAATGACTCAAGCACTGGGGATGTTTTCTTTTCCCTGGAGTATATCCCACAGCCTTTTTAATAATGATTGTTCGAAACAATTGCTTGTTATTAAGCTTAGCACTGTCACATTCAGTCATTGTGCTAAGCCCAGTATTCATTTCCTCTTTCCCTTTCCTGCGTGTGATTTTTCTTACTATCCATCTACTACCTGTCCTGCTGGATTTACCCCCATTCACAGAGACAAAGTAAAAACAGCAGGAGAGAGCCAAAGGTCATCTAGTCCAGCCAGTCATTCTTATCAGGTCAGCTATCCCATTCTGACCCTCTAGGTGTGATGTTTCCATCTCTTTTGTCAAATTCTCTTTGTTCTGCTGTTTTCCATTTTGATATAAAAGTCAAAGTGTGGTGATGGCAATATTCCTAAACGTCCCTATATCAAATTCTCCTGACTTTCAAAGTGCTGAGGTCAAGATCCAGAAAACTCGTAACCAGAGGAAATCAGGTTGCTGGCATGCCGGGACCGTTATGATGCTCTCAGCCTTAATTAGGTGTAAGTAACATCTTGTCAGTGTTCTGCCACATATGCTAAAGCTGCCGGGGCAATTTTACTGACTCGGACAGCTGAAATCAGAAACAAGAGAATCAACATGTCAATGATGTAGCTGGACATGATGGATATATTAAGAGGAGTCTGGAAAATTCTGGACTTCATTACATCGACTCTACTTCTCAAAAGTTCCTGTCAAAAGAATCTCAGCCTCATCAGAAAAGCTCCTCTGGGATCTGATTACACCCAATTACAGGGCCTCCCACAGCCACCTGGACACAGAGGTACTTCTGCCCAAACTCATTGGAGGAGTGATTGAGGGAAGATGAGAACAAGGAAATTGCTGATTTTGGTATAATCTCTACAAATAGATCTATTGAGATTTAAAAGGTGCAATAACTTGACATTTTTGGTAAGTTAAAAACTGCTTAAAAATTGGTTTGCAGGTTGTTTCTTTTTCCATCTTGGCCCCGGGCTATTTTCAAAATGAAAAGAATGGGATCAAGTCCTGAAAACTGAGGTGGAGTTGAAGGCAATAATAAAATTTTAAAGATGACAAAGAGGAAAGTGATAATCTCCTGAAAGTGTTAGAGGCACACTTGACTTCAGATGGCAAGTTTCTCAGAAGGAAAGAATGA